TGCTGGAAAACATATTTTAACTATCTTACTCAAAATTTCCAAAGCATTTATCAGCAACAAATTTGACTTCGTTTTGAGGAGTCTGTGATTGATCTTGACCCTGTCTTGCTCTACATTTCACTGCCATGCAAGTACATTATCCAAAACCCTGTTTTATACAGCACTAGCTTCACCATTATCATCTAATATTAAGGGCAGCATTTATCACTTCATCACCCCACAAATCCTCAACTTCCCCCAACTTCAAAAAGCCTCTGCTAAATGACTGAGCTGGACTGAGCGATCCTGTGGATAATTTATTTTCTTTAATTAGTGTTCACTTCCCTGCTCTCCTCAACAGATATAGATCGCTAGCAATGTAATCAAAAGCATTCATAAAATATGATTGGTTCTTGGCTTTATTCGCACACAGCAGTTTCAAAACTGAATACATTTAATCTAAGAACATTTTAATGTCGCAGCTGCGCCAAGTACTGATGTAACACAATAACTAATTGAAAATGATTGAAAAACTTTGTTCTTCATTTTTCAGCAATAGCAGCCTTCAATCTTTCTTGAAATAATTTAAAGATTCCAAAAATAAATACATAGAATTTTTGACTTTGGCAACTGCTGAGTGTATGACCACGTGATGATTGATGTATAAATACACCCCCGGCGGAAGCCTGGGCAAACTGAAAAAAAAAAGAATTTTTGACTTAAGTTTTCTAAAGCAAAAAAGAAAAAAAAACTTTCTTCTATACAGCTCTGTGCCATGCAAATTGCAAATGGCCGCCGCCATTGTGCCATTGCCATTGTGTAAGAGATGACGACGCGTGACATGTGTCATGTGTCAATGCTTCCGTAAAATTACTGACATTTTACTTAGTTTTCATCGCGATATCATTACAGTGGTGTCTGCTATCTATCAGTGTGCCTCGTAAGTAATTACTTAGCAAGTTTTGTTGTGTTAAACATTTGTTAATGAAGAAAAATTGGCTGCGTCAGTATCGTCACCATCGCTACTTGGGTTGAACTCTAGGGGTATCATGGATTTTGTTCACATTAATGGTATAGCCCATCATTGTCAAATGGGTCACCATTTTTGGATCATGATAACGCACTTAACCCTGCCTTGACCGGACTCGAATTGAATGACTTGAATTGAAACGCTTGATGGTTCGCCTTGAATGGTTCAGGCATGGCCTCAATATTGACTCAATATTTGTTAACTGACCCCAACATTTCTTTATTACGGAGCGAGCGAAGCGAGCGGAGTCTTACGTAGAATAACGGAAATTTCTGAGTATGAGCGGCCGGCCGGCCGGCCGGCCGTGGTCACGATTCTGCGACGCTTATATCTCAGCAGCCACTTGACCGATTTACATGCGGTAATTTTTGTAGGGTAGCTTCATTCCTTCTACCAAGTATTGGACTATTCCTGATGCATGTGGGTGACCCCTTATGCACGTGCCACGTGCAAAACGAAGAGGTGTCACTTTTGTAATTGTTGCAATATCTCGGTAACTACTGGGCCGATTGCGCTGAAAGTTGGCATGTAGGTAGGCACCCACTAGGCAATGCATATCCATGTGCCAGAGTTGGGGTGCTGCTGCACGTGCGCACGTGCAGGGGTCCATTCCAGATCTCGAGAACGGCTGGACCGATTGCGCTCAAATTTGGTACACGGTTACGGAGCAGTTAGTAGGGTGCCAAGCACAAGTCAGTTGGGACCCATTTTGCACGTGCGCACGTGCAGGGTGCCGCTTCCAGATCTCGAGAACGGCTGAGCCGATTGTGCTCAAATTTGGCACATCGCTAGAGACCGGTTAGTAGGGTGCCGTGCACAAGTCGTCAGTTGGAGGTACCCCCTCGCAATTTCGCACGTGCAAGGCCCACCCTCTCGCTCGCTCCGTTAATCGCCCCATAAGGCGTTATACTGGTAGTTACACAATGCAGTTATAAATGTGTTTTTCTTTCATCGCAAATAATTTAGAGATTCCCTGATTTTTTGTTGCCTTATTTTAAAGTATTACCTTTCAATGCTTATCATAATTATGTCTTGAGAAAGTTTGAAGCATTTTTTTATAATTTCCTGAATTCGGTATCTAGTCGGTATTTCCCCCTATTTCTGAAAATCGGTTCGGTTTTGGTATATTCTCAGTGGTTTTGGTCGGTATCGGTTTGGTATTGGTTTCCAAAATTTCTGAAATTGACATCACTAATATAGATAAACGGGTGACGAGTTACTGTTTCCGTTCGCAGCCTTGCAGCGCCCTGTAGTGTGCACGACCAACGTACGACACGGTGATCAGTCTAGATATCATTGTGATATAGTTGCCCACTCTACGCTATGCACGCTTTTGCCTAAGCTCCAAACATGCACCAGCCATTCGTGAAAAACAGGTCCCGATTTCTATATTACTATTTGAGGAGGGTGCGTCTGTCCGTTACCGAGGTCCCGACTTGGTGGTGCTTTGCGTGGACTACAGGCCAGACCGTTGCACCTAGCGCGGTGAAATTTGCACAACTTATAGATCAAGGATGCGCGACGTGCCTTTGAGGGGTCTGGGCTCGATCGGATTGATAGGGGGCGCGTGGCGCGTGCTCAAAAAGTGCAAATTCGCGTCATAGACTTTACATGTATAAATCGGCGTGCGAAATCGGGCGAAAACAGCCGAATTTGCCCGACACGGGTCCGGTCTCGGTGCCATATCTTGGTGACCAGGGGTCCGACCGGCACGGGGAAAACAGCATCGTGTAGATAATTGAATGGGCAGTTGAATGGTGTGCAATACAGAGGATAGCACGCGCCACGTGCACTGGGGAGGGCACTTTTATTTGGAAAATTGACGTTTTGGACGGATTTCGGAATTAATATTATTTTCAGGTGACCGTCAGACGGAGCGAGTTGAAACAACGCCTATTGGCAAGAGAAATGTACCGCCTCTCATGGAAAAATTGTTAAAAGCTGATTGATCCAAATAAAGGTGGTACAAATCACGGAAGAAAATGGTGTTTGTCAATTTTGTGCCACTTTATTTATCACACGGGTTTTGCTCCATGATCTGATATCTCTGGCAATTAAAAATTGGCACCGTTGGAAAGAGCATTCAATTCTGTTCAATATTCACTCTTCATTTTTGCGTGACGGGCAACAGTATTCTTAAAAATGTAAATGTTCCAAACCATTACATCGCCATTTTTAGCGAAATTCATCGATGGCCCTCAAAAGACTTCACGCCAGTTTTCGAATCATTCTTAAGTAGAACGCATGATAATAGGACACGGGCACCTCGATGCGATGGATCTTTTTTGTTTCACTACAAAATGTTTGGCCGTCAAAAAGCAATCGAACGAAATGGACACCAACCAAATCGACACAGACCAACCAAATACCCACGGGTCAAAAACAACCCTTCTTCGCGTTGCGGAGCACGCGGGTAACCCTAGTTGTCGGCTAATCTTGTAACTAACGTGTCCACTGCAGTGCATATGCCATGTGTCATTTCATAGCTACCCCAGTTGACTACAGGGTGTCTCAAAAGTTCGCTTACAGGTGCCAGCCATGCTTTTTTGTCAATAATTCTGAATCAACATGAATTTAACAGTCGAAATTTTGTATGGGCATTGGTAACAACCTTCCTCAAGCAGCTTCATTGTTTTCAAGCGCATTCGACCCTTCATGAGCACACAAAAAGGGTTCACCTCTGACCATGAATCAGGCATGAAAATGGAGGTCGCATACTCCGGTCGGCTGAGAAACTCTCTGTTTCACGAGTAATGGGAATGGTTAGGTCGGAAATGACACATGGCAAAGTGTCGGCGAGGATGAGTACAACATGATGGTCATCAAATAAAAACGGTGGCTAAAATTTTTGAAGGACAAAACCATGCGAGACTAACAGCGCTTTGAACGACCCTTGTACCGCAGCAGACTCGTGCTCCGGAAAGCAGCTGAAAATGCAGTCCTGACTATTGAAAACTGACTAGAAGCTAACAGACAGAGGTTACCCAGTTTCAAAAATTGCAGGTCATCATAAAATAAAGACAAAGTATCATTTAAAATTGTTTATAATATCTATAACGCTAAATTTTGAGGGAAAATAATGCGAAAATCGTCAATGCCGAGGACAAGTGACCCTCCAAAAGTGTCAATTAATGTAAAGTTTTATCTAACGAAGTTTCAAGAGGCAGATCTGGAGCAAATAGCTTTCTTTTACACACAAAATCCGGACAAAACCGCACGATGGACAGGTTTTGGCCGTTTACAAAGCAGAACCTCTCCTGAGGAAAACACTCCGGAACTCAGCGAAGGTCTTGGCATTGGGAATGATGAGCGTTCGGGATTTGCAAATTTTGCAATATGTGTCTAAGAAACAGATGGCCGACACATTCTGCTACGATATGCTGCGAAAAATTTGCCCCTGGCACTTCCCATTTGTTCAGGAATGGAGTTGTTTTGAAAAGGAAAATGGTGCTTGGGAGGTCGGCGCCAGTCATTCATGCAGGAGTTAGCGCCAGAGAAGACCTACAAAATACTCACGGATGGTGTCGATGCAAGCTATCGGCTTTCAGGGAGAAGCGGATGTTGCCGGGGAGCTCGTCAAACCTAAATCCGACGCAGAAACTGCGGGGGATTCCCCTACAAGAGCTTGAAAGCTGGTAACCTTTTATCAGCCTCCGGCAGCTGACGGAGTGACGAAAATCGGTATGGGCAAATATTTTTGGAGATACAGCAAAGGGTTTGGTTTCCAACCTTCCGAATCAGTTGTCAAAGCATGCATATTTGTCTAGTGTACACACGGACATCAAAACCTTAGATTTTTGGCCGGTTCTTATATGCTTCATTGACATGGGAAATGTGTAAGCGAACTTTTGAGACACCCTGTATATCGGACGATAAAAAGTGCAAATATTTTTCCCTATCTTATGCGTTTATTAAAAATGTCCTGGTAATTCTGGGACACCCTGTAGAGACCAAAAGCACCTACATGGTTGCTATTGCGCCGGTGACTCACCGACGATTTTGAGCTGGTCGGAGCAGCGCACCCGGATGACCTGCATCTTCTGTTGGGCCGGGCTGACGCTGGCCGCAGACAGCACGCCCTCCACCCGCGTCCACACGTGCAACACCGAGCCTGCCGGCGCGGGCCAACAAAATGTCACTAGTGTCTGTCATTTCCTCCAAAGCTGCTGTCGGCCTACTCTTTTTTCTCGGGGTGTTAACCCGGCAGGCGGTGGGCCTCCCGGCCACCTCGCGCGGTGGGGGGGGGGGGGGGCATTATTTGCCCCCCGTATCTCCGAAACTACTGGACGGATCCAGAAAATTCAAACGGCGTTCGATAGCCCTGTCAAATTTGTCGAAGGAAACCAAATTTCATTGACCTCGGGGTCACCGATGACGTCACAGGTCAGGTCAAAGATAAAATGTTTCACCGTTCACGGGTCTTCTAGGGAAAGCGCTATAACACCGAGGAAAACGCATTTTTTTCGAAAATCGGCGATCGGGCGTCAGTTATCTAGTACATATGTTGCTAGTAGAGGTCACTGGTCATACGTCAGGTCACAGGTCAGGTCACCAAGGGTCACCACATGAACCCAACTTTACTAAGGTTGTGCGATACATGTTTTATGGCCAATTTTTCATTTCCAACTCAATGGTGTTGGTTATGAGACCATCAGGTACAGTTTAGGTCACTTTCTGGTTGAGGTCAGGTCAAGGTCAGGTCAAAAAAGGTCAAATTTCAACGTTGATAGTTTTGCATAAAATGGGTATTGATTCGATGCATCCCGTCACGGGGAGTCTAATGGTGGTCTTTATTTTGCGCTACAAGGTCTAGAATTGCTAAAAATTGAGTTTGAAAATTTGACGTCATCAATTTTGAACAGTTTTTTTCGCTATAACTTGGCCAAAAAAGAGGTATCGATCTCAAATTTGGTATGTAGATAGAAAGCCGTAGGGACTATCACATATATTCCGTTTTTTTTCGAAACTCAAAAAAACTTTTTGGAGTTTTTTGGTTATTATATTCAAAAAATGTATTTTTTGATTTTTGGGGGTCAAAATCCAAAAATTTCAAAAATCCGAGATAAGAGTTTTGCAGCCCTTTTAATTCTACACCTTTTATGTCAAAACATTGCTCTGTATCTCTAAAGCTGTAGGCCTGACAGCTCTTCCCGCGAAACCTTTTTTGGGTCGAAAATGGCAGAAACGACGTCACTCTGACGTCATTAGTGGCCAACCTATCAAAGCCTTTGAAAATATTTTTGGTCACAATGTGCAATAGCTGTTCACGGGAGGGTCCTGAAAGTTTGGTGACGATCGGCGCAGCGGTTCTGGAGATAAATCGAAAAAACTAAAGGGGGGGGGCAAAAAATGCCCCCCACCGCCTGGAAGGTTAAGCTAACAGCGGATGGATAACGACAACTCAAGAAACTTAAGATTACCAAACGATATTTATTTTTAAATTACTTTTAAATACACAAAGCTTTCGGTCACATACGACCTTGATCACTGTGTTTCACAATGCTTCACAATTACACAAACTTCGCAAAAATGATACAAAAACCGTCTAAAATTCTTAATGTGAAGCGCATGAAAATTTTCTAGCCTACCGCCAGTTTTGCTGCCCAGGATGATAATGAAATGAACCCACTTCTCGAGTTGAACGTGTCCCGGGTGATTATATGAGTGGCTTCTAGCGTTTTTCGTATCTTCTTTTTTATATTTCTTTCTAATATTCTTCTTTTAGTCCAGTCTGGTAAATGATTGCATTTGTCTATATGAAGGACGATGACATTCGACTCTCTATGATATTTGACATCGCTTCGATGTTCTTTTAGGCGTACGTCAATGCCCCGTCCTGTTTCACCTACGTAACTTTTTTTCGCAACCTTTGCAAGGGATTTCGTTTACTACACTATTTTCTTCATTTTTTTTTATCTGATGACTTTGTTTTGGCTATTTCTTGTATCTTGATTCCTGTTTTCATTGCGACATGAATCTTCGTTTTCTCGAGTTCTCGCGAAATTATGTCAGCTTTGCTCGAATTCGGAATCGTTATATATCTTTTCGTTTTCTTCTTCTTTGTGCTTGTTCTGACTTCTTTGTCGTGATCTCTGTTCGTGCGTTCGTCATTTCTTCTCTTAATTCGTATTGCTTTCTCTTTTTGTCGTATTAGGAATCTCTTAGGATATCTCAACTTCTCAAAAGTTTTGCAAATATGGTCAATCTCTTCTTGAAGATATTCCTTACTGCAAATTCTCAGTGCTGATGTCACAAATCGCAGACACAACGAACGTCAATGACAAGAAATTAGCAAGCTTCGATTTCAAGTCATTATTCACCAACGTTCCCGTTGACGACGCATTAGATGCCATACGAAAAGTAGTCGAATCACTGAACGAAGACGAACTTCCTCTCCCGAAGAACGACTATATGAAAATGGTAGAATTATGTATGAACTTCGGTTCTTTTTCTTACAACGGCGAAGAGTGCGTACAACGTAGCGGCCTAGCCATGGGATGGCCATTAAGTCCCATTGCGGCATGTCTTTTTATGGAAACTCTTGAAAAAGAACATTTCCTGAAAATTATCGGTGAGAACTCAATTTGGCTAAGATATGTGGATGATATCCTCGTCATCGTCCCAAGAGACACTAGCCTAACTGAAAAGCTCGAAGAAATGAACAAGATACATCCAAAGATACAGTTCCCCATTGAAAATGAAGAAGATGGACAGCTGACATTTTTGGACACCTGTATCGTGAGAACTCAGTCATGCTTTAAATTTAAGGTATACAGGAAACCAACAAACAAAGAAGACTATGTATATTTTTATTCGGCTCATAGTGAACGTACAAAAAGCGGCAATGTGATCGGTTTCTTTTTGAGAGCACTGAGAATATCCAGCAAGGAATATCTTCAAGAAGAGATTGACCATATTTACAAAACTTTTGAGAAGTTGAGATATCCTAAGGGATTCCTAATACGACAAAAAGAGAAAGCAATACGAATTAAGAGAAGAAATGACGAACGCACGAACAGAGATCACGACAAAGAAGTCAGAACAAGCACAAAGAAGAAGAAAACGAAAAGATATATAACGATTCCGAATTCGAGCAAAGCTGACATAATTTCGCGACAACTCGAGAAAACGAACATTCAGGTCGCAACGAAAACAGGAATCAAGATACAAGAAATAGCCAAAACAACGTCATCAGGTAAAAATACAAATGAAGAAAAGAGTGTAGCATACGAAATCCCTTGCAAAGGTTGCGAAAAAAGTTACGTAGGTGAAACAGGACGGGGCATTGACGTACGCCTAAAAGAACATTGAAGCGATGTCAAATATCATAGAGAGTCGAATGCCATCATCCTTCATATAGACAAATGCAATCATTTACCAGACTGGACTAAAACAAGAATATTAGAAAGAAATATAAAAAAGAAGATACGAAAAACGCTAGAAGCCACTCATATCACCCGGGACACATTCAACTCGAGAAGTGGGTTCATTTCATTATCATCCTGGGCAGCAAAACTGGCGGTAGGCTAGAAAATTTTCATGCGCTTCACATTAAGAATATTAGACGGTTTTTGTATCATTTTTGCGAAGATAGATACAGATACAGATATAGATGTATTCAAAAGAAATCCATACAATATGGCTTTTCATTCTTCTACGTCAGTTACAATGCGGACACAATGAGGACACATTTACACTAAACACACAAACCCATCATACGAGGTGTGGCTAAAAAGAAACCGGACTGCTCGTGCTGGCCATAAACTAGGGGACCCGAAGACTAGCGAGACACTTGGCATTAATCTTTAGCATATTGTCGTAATGTGTGCCAAACGGCATCTCGATATCGCAATTATTCTCCTTTCCACAGCTCTTTGTTTTATCGATGTTCGGCGGCCTTGTCATCGCCAGGCTTCTACAATGAACTTCGAAAAAAAAAGAGGGAACATCACGTTCCTTTCCAGACTGGAGAAAAGTCCAACAGAGACGCTGAATCTGTTCAAGGCTGTTAATGGGGAGCAAGTCATGTGTAACATGCAAGTGTTTGAATGGCATACGAGGGTCAGCACTGGTCGTGAGGATGTCGGTGATGACCCCAAGGTCTGGAGGTCCATCAACGTCCGCGCGCATGTCGAAGTCGAGAGTGGAGATGACATTGATCGTCTTTTTCGATCATAGGGGATTCGTTCACCGCCAGTTCGTGCTGGAGGTGTACCACAGTCGACCAGTCACTTCTACAAGGAAGACCTGGGACGCCTCATTTCACGAGTCAGGCGCACCAAGTGGAGTTTCTGGGAAGCCAAGAACTGGGTGCTCCATCACGACAACGCTCCCGCGCATTCTGCCATTAGCGTTCAGCAGTTCGTTGCCGAAAAGCAGGTCGCGGTGCTCAAGCACCCTCCTATTTGCCAAACCTCCCTCCCTGTGACTTTTGGCTGTTCCCTGAAATGAAAAACATCGTCAAGGAAACCCATTTTGAATCAGTCGAGGACATCCAGACCGGAGTGACCAGCGTCAGCGTCATCAATAAAACAAAGAGCTGTGGAAAGGAGAATAATAGCGATATCGAGGTGCTGTATGGCACACATCACGACAATATGATAAAGATTAATGTCCAGTGTCTCGCTAGTATTCGGGCCCCCTACTTTATGGTCAGCACGAGCAGTCCGGTTTCTTTTTAGCCACACCTCGTACATACACCAACTGATCACAGCGCGCCAGCCGATCCCACGAGCCGCCTGACAGTACGGCGGAACCCAGGCTCGCCGGGAACAGCCTGCACACTGTTCAGTAACCTCACTCCCCGAAAACACATTCTCCTCCTTCCAGCTTCGGTACGAATGTTGGGGCATGTGATTAGCCCCGACTGTCGTGTTGCATGGGCATGCCTTTGGTCCGCTCTCGGCCCAATGGTGTTGTACAGGTACTCAGGCTGTCCCGTCTCAATTATACGCGCTAGCGCACACACAGTGTGGTAGGCAGCAAGCTGCTCTGCGTTCAGCCAGCGGAGCTCCTGCAGCGCCCCGCTGACATGGTCAAAGCGTCGTTTGCCCGTCACGACGCGAACACAAAAGTATGGTATGCTTCATTAAGCTGGCAGAAATCGTTTTTTCTAATAAAGTTCGTTTGAAAATGAAAATTGTTAACATGGAAAGTCAATGGGAGCCTCTTTATTCCTCTATAACTTTTATCATTAGTAAGATATATATAGGTGAAAAGTTCATATAATATACAATTTTTGATGCTCTTTCCACTGATGCATAGAACGTCACTGCACGATGTGCCGTTTTTAAGAAAAGCTGTAAAAAATCAGGGTTCGACTGTGACTTGAACCCAACCACATTAGAGTATACGAACAGGTGACGGGGATACCTCCCGTGTGCGGATGCAACACTGATTATTGCTAAATATTAGCAGTGGGCCGCCATGGTGCTATTCTCGATGCGTATGGGTGACCCCTAATGCACGTGCCACGTGCAAAACGGAGAGAAGTCAGGGTTCAGCCGTGCTAACGCTCGAAGTACCCTCCCTTTCGCTCGGCAAACATGGCGGAGCGCCTTAAGGACTCTTGGGCTACGCGGGCACATGTTTCCAGCGGATTCTTTTCGATTCCGATGCATGTCTGGATCGAGTTCCTCAGCTGGTCCAGAGCTTGATAATTCTTTGCGTATACCACACTCTTGAGGAACCCCTACAGAAAAGAGTCAAGAGGCGATAGGTCTGGGGAGCGTGGCGGCCAGCTAACGTTGGCACGCTGGGATATGATCCGATCACCCATGCGCTCGTTGAGCCAGACCATCGTTGATCTCGGAAGTGTGTGGAGGAGCCCCGTCCTGCTGTAGCCATTGGACGCTGATGGTGTTCACACACTTTTTGCACACCTGTGGGAAGAGCTTTTTTGTTTTGAAGTGGGCCTTTAATTTCCGCTGTGTTTGCACCACGCACAGAGTTGGTTTGGAGGTAGGATTTTGCAACTTGAATCCTTTCCTCCTTGCTCAGTTGCCCCATTGTCCAAAATGAAAGATGTGGAGCATTAACTGCCATGAAAATAGCTTTAATAAAATACTAGAGGGACAGCAATACGCGCAGCGTAATAAATCAATTTTCATTCAAATCGGCCCAGTAGCGGCCGAGTTATTGCCAGAAAAAATTTGGCGACTCCTCTTGGCCGGCGGTGCTCTGCGCCGGTGTTCGTTACCAAAGGTCAATGACCTGCCGGCTCTGATTTCGCTCCGTTTTCCAAGCGAAGAAACTGAGCTTAAGGCACGTGCTCTCTAATCGCCGCCGGCCGCGGTCAAAAATGCCTCAAAGATGCACCCGCCGGCCGTCACGTGCGAACCACCGAAGCCACCCCCTCCGAAATTTAATACGACAAATGGTTGCACGCGCCCGACTCGGCGCGAAAATTTCACCCCCGCAACCCCCACCGTCGCCTCGCAACAGCCCGCCAAAGGAACTTATACGGCCTTGGCCAAAGGGAACTGACCAGAACTGACGCGTTACATACATAGGTAGGGTAGCCTGGGGCAAGACGCCCCAGATAATTTATTTTGCCATATAACTTTTGTCCCACATCACCTGGAAGGCCAAATTTGTGCTCAATGCGTTCTTTGGACATTTTACTTTTAATTGCACCCCTCAAATTCATTCACTTATGATCGAACTCCAAGCTAGGAAGCGATTTATGAAGTAACTGCAAATGGGGCATTTTGCCCCAACCCCAGGGCAAAACGCCCCACGGCCTGGGGCAAGTAGCCCCATACTTAAGATTAAAGGTTAAACATGGTAGTTGGCTAAATCTTATGTGAGAGGTCCGTTAGACCTCTGGAGGCACGGCACTGAACTTAGCACATTCCATCCTATCAGGTGTTCAGCTATGACACTATTGTATGAGCAGGTTTTTCACCTGCCTCATAAAGCCAAATAAAAAATTATTGCAATGCAAATGTTAACAAAATACTTCCTTTGCCATCCAGTTGCTGAGAAAAATACATATAAAGGCAAAGAAACTTACTGTTCGCCAGCTACCAAACATTAGAAAGTGGGTAGTCCGAACAACACATGAGGTAAAACGCCCCATGGGGCTTTTTGCCCCGCGACCTACTGGGGCGTTTTACCCCATCACGTAGTTCGGTCAGAGAACAACGCCTTGCGCTCCAGCAAGACATAATTTAACACGAACAAACCCGGCATTATAAACGTTAGACAATAGTTGTTCAAAATCGTTAACCTGATGTGGACCATAAAAGAACGCCATGATGCATAATCAGACAAAAAATCATAAAAATCACTCCAAAAACAGATTTTTGGCTATATCTCCCTAACGAGATATCACAATTTCTTTCCAGTCTGCTCATATAATGATCATATAGTGTACGTTTTATAGAAGAGAGGATGTTTCCCAGAACCTTGCCAGTTCCCAGAAACATCGGTGAGGCGTTTTACCTCGGCGGGGCGACTTGCCCCGGTCTACCCTACAGGCGTTTTGATTTTTATATAGGCAAATATGAAATATGATAGCTATCATCACGTGCGTATTATCTGAGATGTCTTCAGTTTAAATGAGACACAATTTATAAACACTTTTTTGTGTTATGAGGTTATTGTTTGTTTGTTTATTGGGGCTTAAGGGCGCGCCGACTACAAGGTCATTTTGCGCCCATAACTATATACAAGTAAAGCAAGTGTGTCACAAGAAAACCGACGTAATAAAAGGCTTAAAAAAAGCCTAAAAGCTGGTTAAAAAGAGCAAAGAAGGGTAAAATACTCCAAGCGTATCGTAAAAGACAGCTGACTAGGCGTAAGGACTAGATTAGAATAGACGTATGGACTAGTTGGTTTGGTATCAGATCGAGTAGATTACTTGGAATTTGATTGAACGGATAAAGGAAAAGATGTTGCCAGATAAAATGTGGCAGTAATTCAAGTGCGAAATTTTAAGGGTTTTGCTCTTTCGTTATCACTCGCCTGTCACGTAACGTACGGTAAAATAGTTTATATCAAACAAAATGCTATGGAATGAGCTTTCATGTGGTACCAAATTTAGCCGATGTTAGCCGATGTTAGCCGATGTTAATCCGGTGTTAACGCCTCTCAAAGTGGTACTGCTGTCGCTCGAGTGTCCGTGGCGCCCTCGGTATGCTGCTGCCGCTTTTCAACCCCTCGAAAACCACAGTGTCGCTTCTCAAAGAGATACTACCGCCCCTAAAGTGGTGATCCACCAGCCCCTCAAGCTAGCGCCTAACTCAAACAACTGACCGATGAGCAGAATCGCCAGTTTTAAATGAAAACCGAGCGCCAACATCTGGAAGCGTGGGAAGTGACGTGCTGCGAACCAGGGCCCACGACGTCTCGGCCGGCGGCCTCTCACCGGATAAGACGTGGTAGGTTCGCGCGCGCCGGCCCACGTCGCAGTCGACGCCCAGAGCGCGCCGCTTGCACACGCCGCGCCAGTAGGCGTGCGAGCACGTGGCCACGGACGCCTCAAACTGCTCCTGCCAGTGCCGCTCGGCCTCGGCCGGCTGCACGCGCTTGTACTTCTTCTTGATCTCAGCCAGCGTCTCCATCCGGATCTGCAGTCACAGCGGGCCCGTTAACGTCAGAGTGGGCCAGGTAAGCGTCACATGTGTCTGCCAAGTATGGTGCCGGGAGCCGTAGGTGCTCTGTCCTCGCTTGGTGTTAAAGCTGTGGATGCTATGCCCTCGCATGGTGTTTAGCCCTCCCCAGGCTTGAGGCTAGGGCCTTTTCACAACAGGGATGGCCGGAAGGGGGGGGAGTACGACCTACCCTGGCGATCGGCTCCTATGGCTATGGACTAGTAGTGTCAATCGGTTACCAAAATTTCGGTATACCGATACCGAACCAAAACCGATTCGGTATTCCGTTCTATATACCAAAGCATTTGGTATTTTGTCGGTATCATGAAAATCAACTACTGCCATAAAAGATTTGAAAGCATTTTTGATAAACCAGCTGAACTCAAATTTGATTTGCTTAATGACACTGGATGAAGAAAAAATGGCAATCATGACACATTTCTCCCAAATGCACGATGTCCTAACAAATGAGCAAACACATTAACTGTAACATCAAATACATCAGTCTACAGGGTGTTTCACTAAAAGTGTCAAAAAGTAAATGCCTATTAAAGATATATAGAATATGCAAATCATGTGTCTGCGCACGTGGCTTTGTTGCAAATTTTTGGACATTTATTATTTATCCATTTAAGATATATTTTACACTCATACGGAGCGAGGGCAGGAGGCCAAAGTTACTAGTCATTTTTTCCTTATGCAGAACAAGAACAGGTTATTTACACCTCAACAGGAGGGATGAATTACACTTATGTACATTTGGTGCCATCAGAAACATTGAAACCGTATGCCGACTTTTCAGGAAACTTTTTACTCTCTCACCTCGCTACGTTCCAGATTATAAAAGTTTCAAAGGGCTTGTTGAGAGGTTTAAAAGGGTTCCTTCGATGCCGGTTCCAGTCCAAAAAAGGCGGGGTTGCCCCCACCTCTCGGCGGAAACCGTTGAGAAGGTCAGGGTCTTTTTGAGGGCCTTTGAAGATAACAAGAAGCTAATTCCAACATCAGAAATAGCCAGGGCCTTACAAGTTATTAAAATCAACCACTGTAACGGCTGTAGCCACCAGGAACTGACTGGACCAGAAGCTCCTGGGCCGAATAATCAGCTGCCTCGCCGCCCGCCCCTGGCCAGCGCGAAGCCCCGATCTGTCACCGCTAAGCCTCTGGTTTGGTCAGTGACTCAGTAGCTCTCGCAGAGCTGAGGAAGACTCAAGTCGCATCACTTCGGGAGCTGAAGAGCACAATTCAAGGCTTTGCCGACAGTCTGGACGCTGAAGATGAAAACGGGCTGTGAGGGTCGGGACCTCCGGACACGTGCCGAAACGGTACATCAAAAGAAGGGGCAGATGTGTGGAATAGGTTTGAGTGACGGTGATATCGTTTTTATATATTCAAATGTCCAACAATTGCGGATGAAATGATATGCAAATTTCCTTAGAAAACATTGTTATTATGTGCATTATGACCTTTTACTTTTTGACACTTTTAGTGAAACACCCTGTACCAAATACCAATGTTAAATGGCAACTTATCAGTGTTAGCAAATTCCAGGATGATTATCTTACAAAGAAAGCCAATGTGCAAGACATAAATGTAGGAGGGCTCCTTCTCCTGTGCCGCCGCCTATTGCTCGGGTGGCTATATGTTGGCAATGAATGAACTGCCGCCAATGAATGGACTGCCGCTCCGAGACCGACTGAGTCAGAGTCGGAAGTGGAACTCCGCCGCTGCGAGCGCCCGCGGCTACAGCTCACGCGCCGTGGGCTATTTGCCGTGCTCTGCGGCGACGGCTGTGGCAGTGATGGCGGCTGCTGATTGGCTGGCGCTGCGACGCCAGGGCAGCCGCCGATTGGGTTTTCTCCTGGAACCTTCTCGGACGAAAGGTCGTCTGAAGGTCATTGTCATTGACGGGGGGATTCGGTCTGGAGCGGGGGGCTACGCTTGGAATTGGGACTTGAACTTGGACTTTGACTTGGCTTTGAACTGGTCTTGGTGTTCAGAATATACTTTGACTATGTTTTACGTTTAATCGATCCACGGCCATGTCTACATTTGGTGGCAGCGGCTTTACGAGCTTCGCTCTTTCGCGATAAGCCGTAACGATGACCTGATTTGGATATTATACCTACCGGCTACCAAGAAATGAAGATGATCTCGACTGACCTCGGTGGTCTGCCCCGGCCGACCTCGCGAGTGCGACCAGTGAACTTGGAACTGTGAGTTTTGGTGTCTGGTCCCGCCTGGGCCATGATTTGGTGCCTGAGTCGAGACTGTCAGTGACTTGTGCCGCCCAGAACTATGGTGAAGCAGTGCAGTCTGGTGTCTCAGTGCGCAGCCTCTGCCGCTGTTTGTTGGAGCGGCTTGTCGGTGAGCTCCGCTGGCTCGACGAGAGGTGAGCGGCCGTTCCGTTAGCCATGCGCTGGCTCGACGGGTTGAACTGTTAAGTGAGTGGCCAGCTGGTCCTCCTTAGTCTTCGGTGTTAGCGGGCAGTGGCTGGCTTGATCTGGCTGGCTTGCCGCCCACCTGCTGTCGCAAGATTTCTTTCAAGATTTCAAGTTCTTCGTTCGTCGCCGCTGTCAGTCGCGGCGACCCGTGGCGACTGAAGTGACCGTTTGAAGTTCGGTCGTCGCCGCCGTCCATCGTGGAGGTCCTTGTGATTGCGATGATCGCCTCCGAGTGCGTCCGCCGTAGCCGTCGCTCGTGGCGACCGCTGTCGCAGTCTTCTTCGTCGCCTTCAAGTTGCAGCCGCCGCTCCTCGGCCGCCGGCTTCGGCCCAGAGCTGCTGTGACGTCAGCAGTCACGTGACGCTGCTCGTCGCTCGGCCGGCTGTGCGTCAGCTGACCGCCGCGGCCGCCGGTTCCTGCGGCTCCTGACGGCCTGGCGGGCCGATGGATGGGCAGACGGCGAGAATCTCCATCGACAGAGCGGCTATAAGATAAGTGCATTAATCGATTGTGTTGTGTCTATTGTGTAGTGTATGTATTTTGTTTGTGATGTGTAGATAGGTGTGTCATTTTGGCAAAATGAATCCCAGGGACGGGGAGCAGAGTGGGTCTGGGGACGTGCGCCGCGGGGCGATCGGTGGATTTTCGTTTGAGGCGCCAAAGTTCGCCGGGGAGAGTGGCTCAGCCTGTGACAGATTTTTGGCGGATCTGGACACTTTCTACACTTTTCACAATTTGGATGATGACTTCAAGCTGCGCTTCCTGCCGCTGTGCTTGACCGGGTTCGCACGGGATGCTTTTGAGGCCCTCCCACGGGAGGAGAGGGACACGTTCAGCCGGGCTGCTAGTGCTCTCCGCCACTTGTTCATCAAACCGTGCGCGCTGGATGCTCATAGCCAGCTTCAGCAGTTAAAGTTTGACCCGTCGACCTCTCTTGACGCGTTTGTCATCCGACTGCGTGCGCTAGTGGCTGAAGCGTTCCCAGGGAGTGTGTGCGATCAGGTGCTCTTCCACTCTTTCCTCACGGCTCTGCCGAGAGAGTATAGGCAGCAGATAATTTCGACCGGTATCGAAACCTTTCCAAAAGCCGTAGAGAAAGTGAGCAATATCATTCGTAGTGAGCGAGTCCCGGTTCAGGATCGGGCCCCGGTGCGTCAGGTCAGTCAAGCTGGTGGGGATGAGATGCTGGTAAAGGTGCTTCAGCGGCTGGAGCAGCTGGAGCTTCAGGTCGCGCGGGCGGCTCAGCCCGCCGCTCGGGAGCGGGGACCGGGGCGAGCGGGGACGGCACGCGCACGGGACGGTCGGTCGGACGCGGGCCGGCCGGGCGGGGGCCGCCAGGGGCGCGGCCGGCGCGCATGTTTTGCCTGCGGCAGCGAGCAGCATCTGTGCGCGGCGTGTCCCCACCGGCGTGCACGGTGCTATACGTGCGGCCGAGACGGGCACATTTCCCGTGTCTGTGACCGGGGAAACGACGCCGGGGTCACGGTAAGTTGCAGCGCCCACCAGTGCCCCCAGTCCCAAAACCCGCCGCAGTGAGGCCGGAGAGGGCCAAGTGCGCTCCCGATGCAGCAGGTGAGGCGCTGAAGGTTGATGATGTGGGCTGTCAGACGGAGAGCTGCCAGCACATTTCTGCGTTCAATTGGCCCCTCAGTTTCATTCAAAGTGAGCAGGGTAAGGATGAGGTGCTGGCCGAGCTGGCACGGTTACTTGCGACCGGCTCGTGCCCCTCTCGCCACAGCGTTTCGAGCGCTGTGAGGCCGTGGCTGAGACACTGGTCCCGGCTACGCCTCCTCGACGGCGTGATTTTCAAAGTGTACCGCAGCCGTCCGCAGGCCCCTGAGGCGCTGCAGGTGGTAATTCCGTCTGAGCTTGTGGCAGGTGTGCTCACTTCTCTGCATGCGGGCCCGTGTGGAGGACACTTCGGTCATGAGAAGTTGTTCAAACAGGCTCAGAGACGATTCTTTTGGCTGGGGATGTATACAGATGTGGAGAAGTTCTGTCAGCAGTGCGACCGCTGTGCCGGCCGCAGCTCCCCCAACCCGCCACCCCGAGCGTCTATGGGCGAGTTGTACGCAACTGAGCCCTGGGAGGTGGTGTCCATTGACTTTTTGACCGACCTTCCCACTACAGCGCGCGGCAACAGACACCTGCTGGTGGTCTGTGATCACTTCACCCGCTGGGTGGAGGTGTTCCCGCTTCCTGACATGCTGGCTGTGACGGTCGCGGAGACTCTGGCGTCACAAGTGTTTTCCCGCTTTGGGTGTCCCAAGCGTCTGCACTCTGACTGTGCCGCTAATTTCAGAAGCCAGGTGATGTCGGAGTTGTGCCGAATCATGGGCATACAGAAAACGAGCACCACTGCTTTCCATCCACAGGGAAACAGCCGCTGCGAGCGGGTCAATCGGACCATCTTAGGGATGCTGGCGAAGTACCTGACGGATAATCACAGCGAGTGGGACCGTCACCTGCCGCTGCTGATGCTCGGTTACCGTGCCCAGATTCACAGGTCGTTGGGGTACAGCCCCTTCTTCTTGA